TGGAGGTGTTGCGAGGGGGGACCGATGAGGGGATGCTCTGGCGTGCCGAAGATGCCATGGGTAGTGGCTTCAAGCTCGAGCTGCGACATCCCTTCCCTTGGGGGCGCGAGGCGCTCTGCTTCAGCGATGACGGCGAGTCCCCGGCCGGCAATCGCGTTCGTTGAAGTCGTCGGTGTGTGACAATCCCTGCATATTCCATCCGGATCGGGATTGTGTAATGCCGTTTCGCGTGGGTGGGGATGGTGCGGCACCCGCGGTCTGCCGTCAGGGTGCTTCCAGTCCCTGCGGTGGATGTGCTCGAAGTGCAGTGGCACGAGGTCAATCAGTTCGTGCGAGTCGCCGCTGCAGTCGGGGATGTCGAAACCCAAGACGTACACTCCATTTTCGGAGCGCGCTCGTCCGATCTGCCTGCGAGGGAAGTTGCGTGCTTCGTAGTGCAGGAGGATGTCTCGCGTCGCGTGGTCCGTGCTGAGGTCGACGCCGCAATCCATGAGCTGTGCGGCGAACAGGAGGTTGAAGCGCAAGTTCTGGACGATCAACACATCGTTGAGCGTGATGTGGGTGCGGCTTCTGCGTGCCTTGAGCACGACGATGCCTTGCGCACTTGCGCGCAGGCGTGTATTGTTTGCCACAGTGACGTAGGTGACGGTAGGGGTGAGGACGGCGTTGGATATGTAACACTCGGAGCCCACCATGTGCTGGCCGCAGCAGCTGTCCAAGTACCAGGTGTTGTAGCGCTTGTTGTCGTCACGTGCGAGCAGCGCCAGTCGCGGCGTGACGATGTGCGGGGTGTCGAACTTGAGAAATTGTTCGCGCGTGAGCCAATCAAGTGGCGCCACCCGCATATCAGGGACGTGCGGGGTACTTTCGAGCAGCGGGACTGGGAGATTCCAGTCCTAGTCGTCGTCGTCGGTGTAGTCGCGACGCGGGCTGAAAGGGTTGTTGTTGGTAGATGCGCCAATGGGGTGTGGTGCTGGCTCAGGTGAAGGTGAGCGCACGCGGCGACGACGCGACTCGCCTGACATGGTCATGTTGCTCATGACATTGCGAACTGGGGCAGTCGATGACGACTGCTGCTGCTGATGCTGAACCGCTGGGTTCAGGTTGCGCGCAGGTGGGAGTTGTTGTCCCTGGGCTGGACGCACGTCGCCTCGTGCGTCTTGTTGGCCGGTCCAAGTGCTCGGATTGGACAGGCGAGGGCGAGATCGGAATTTACATCGATCCGCCAAGTGCCCAAAATTTCTGCAAATTTTGCAGTAGAGGCGCCTTGGCCGTCGCTCTTCGTTGTTGTCGGCGTAGAAGGCGAGCCGTTCGCGTTCTCGTCGTGGCGCTGGTCGCTGTTGATCCATATCCCTCTGTTCGACGAGAAGGGCGGCGCAAAGGGCGGCCTCCGAGATGACCCCTGCTGTCGGAGAAGCGCCTTGCAGGGCCGCCACTCTGGACCGAGCCCTGAAGCACGATGTTGACGAAGATTTCTTCCGATATCGTGCTTCCCAACTTCACGATTTGATCGCGAAGACTCCGACAGCGATTAAGGTAGTTGTTGACCTTCTCCCTTGAGGTCATCTTGGTTTCCAGCAGTTCCTGGATTAGTCGGCTCGAGGACACGGAGTCCTTGGGCTGATGCACGCCTGTCAAATGTCGCCAGGCGTTGAGGGCTGGAGCAGCTGTCGTTTTGTACGAACGAATGTTGAGCTGCTCCGCCGCCGACATATTCCGCAGGAGCACTCCGTACGCCATCAGCGATTCATTGTAATACCTCGTCTTGGCGTCGTCGGTGTCCTCAGCAGGCTCCGCATAGCTCCCGTCGAAGTAATGGAAGATTTGGGCGTTCTGCAGCAAGAGCTCCAATTCGAAGCTCCAGGTATATAAGTCTCTGCCGTCAAAACAGGTACTTGTCTTCATTTTTTATATGCTGAGAAACCTTGATTGAGCGGAGAGAATTGCCTCTTCACTGGGACGGGGAGTCTTGGGGGTTGAGCCATTGGTGTCGAGGGAGAATGTTTGCGGGGCGGTGTTTTGGCCAGTCGGGGCCGGTTGAGAGGGTTGCGAGGAAGTTCCCGCATCGCCATTCCGCAGTGTTTGGAGTCCTTGCTCCAAGCTGGTGAGTCGTTGAAGAAGTTGTGCGAGAACTACAGAGTCGATTGTCGTCGTGTTCCCGCTTGTTACAGCCGGGTTGGGTTGTGCTTCAGCCGTCAGATTAGTCTGACCACCAGATCCTCCGGCCATCCTTGTACGTGATCGTGTGCCGGACACCACTTTCCGAATGTCGTAATTTTCGGGAGTGACGGTGCGAAGGATTCAAGAGCCGCTCTCATACCATGCTGCAATCAGAAGTTGATCGTAGCCCAGGATCTACTCTGGAAGGTTCGCACGCAGTGAGGTAGTGCTGGTGGGCCCTTGACCTCAATAGCAGAGTGAATGTAAAATGCTTGAGATGAATAGAACATGCAGATACAGGGAGTATAAATATGAGTACAGGGAAGACGAAACGACCTAGCTAGCCATGTACTCTAAGGGGTACATTCCCTTATTCAAGAGTGCATCCCAACCGTTCGGCCCGTACAGTTTCGTAACTGTTCCCGCCAAAACCATCCTGTCTGCAGCTGTCTGATGCCGTTTGCTTCCGACGGTTCAGATGTGCTGTAACCGTCCGACTCTTCGATTCAATTCCAACCGTCTGACGCTTGCGTTCATTCCCGATATTGTGCGTTCCTTGCTGTGGTGAGGAGTGCTTAGTAATATCAGATATTACTATTCGTAACAATACTGACTGGGACGCTTAGTGTAGCCGCAGCGGACCAAAGAAGGTCCTATCACATGCGTTACACTGACAGTTTGACCCAGGGCGTTTAGTCAATGTTCTGTACGTTCTAGAATGGTACTGCTGTTTTCTAAACGGTTAAGACACTTATTCAGCGTTAACGGAATTTTACGGCCCAAGTTTGGTTTCGTCGCCTCGTGCGACTTGGCCCGCAACCGAGTTATCTCACCAGCCCGCTACGTCCAAACACTGTAGCCACTGCTTCCGCCGGTGAGAAGACTGAGAATGAGGGTGTACCATTTTGTGTTTCTTTTGGTTGCGAGAGTTGGCCAACTTCGCTGCGCTCTAGCGACTTCTTATTTCCAATATGGCCCACATCTGCCTCGGAAGATACAGTTCTGTACATATGAGTGCGTGTGTCTCACCTCGCCGACAACTACACGACGTCATTCACATCACATGACATGCAACCGCAAGGAAGCACAAAGGGAAATTATACGCGCAGTCACAATTATGGCCGTATGATCACGTTTGGTCACGGGGTTATCAGGGACAGTCACAGTATAGTACTTCGCTATCACGCCTGATCATAGCGCTATCACGCTTGCAGCAGCAAATGATATAATGTATCAAGCGTGAAAGCGAAGTACTGTACTGTGACTGTACGTGATAACCCCGTGACGAAACGTGATAATACGGCCATAATTGTGACTGCGCGTATAATTTCCCAAGCACAAATGCAAGACAACACGTTGGCCTAGCCTTCTATAGCCAATCGCAACCGTTCCTTCCCTTGAGCTTCATGAATTATGCCACAAGCGTTTCAGAAGTTGCCCCTTTTTCCCGCCTTGTTTCGGTACGAGCCTCGGGTGACCTCTGGGAATGTCTGCCTTCGGGCGGGTCTGTTGCACTGTATCACAGCATGCAGGCTGGAGCCTTTGTCTCTTACATATCCGGAGTGTGGTGCGTTTTGGTTGATGCAACGGTGGCTCCTGCCTCGCTCCGAACCAGCCTAGCAGAAGGGCGGGTCAGGCCATGTCGATTTCTAATCAAGAATCACTGTTCTGATTGGTGAGTATCGATTCAGCATGGTATATCTCAACGCGCTGACTACATCCGGGTGCAAAAACGACGCGGCTCGGGAAAGGGATCCGCCACCCTGCGTCATCCTGTCCGGCTAACTGAGTGCACGTCCTGGGCGACAAGCGTCACCCTGCGTCGCCCGGCAATCCCGATGAGACAAACCCCGATGGCACCTCTCAACGGACCCTCCGTACGAGGTCGACACGTCGACGACGCCGGTCGCGGCCACCTTGCCACGACGTCCAACTTGCCATCGGCGCGGACTGCGACGTGAGGCCCACTGCGATTCCTGGCCGACCACTGCTCTGGCGCGCAGAGCCACACGTCGCCCATCCGAAACACAACATTCCACATGGCGAACATCGATCGACGAACGTCTCTCCACTCGGCCATCAAGCCTTCGCCGGCCTGCTGTCGGGAACGTGCCCGCGGGATACCATCGTCGGGCGACGCGATGAGCACTACTGCGTCACGCCGACGTGTAAGCACGGTTCACCATGGGGAACACCACACAGTCGGCTGCGAAGAAGACATGCGTGTCCCGTGCCACGTCGACCATTGCGCCGCCGTTCTGCCTGGCATGCAGGGTTGGAGACCTGCCCACGGATCGCCCGCCAACACCTGTCCGCCCGAACCGAGACTGTGCCTCTCTATGCTATGACCCCCTGACAGCCAAGTGTCCATGGCATTTTGTCACTTGATTGTTGCGTTGCATTCATTTTCATTCTGGTGAGCCACATTTCCCTCAGTCATTTTCACGCTTCTTGGAGACCGACCGACCACGCGTGGTGCAGGGTCGACGACGAGCCACGCCGGTGTAGAGTGCGTTTAGGTCGGCAAACTGTACGGGCTTCCGACTTAGAATCATTCCGACTAGGACGACTAGCTAGGTCGACAACAACCGAAAGTCACCCAGCAGAACACTAATCTGCCGCCCTTACTTCCCGAAATTCCCGAACTGACCGACATTGCCGCGGAGTTGACGATCGCCGAGAACGTTGAGAGGGCCGAAAGACGGGCGGCCTTTAGGGCCACGGTGCGAAGGCAATACACGGCAGCGATTGTGCAGTATCGACTTTGGTGGGCCGAGCACGTACCGCCGCGAGACCGCGGCGACAACTAGAGGCCGACGGGAACAACTCTACCCGCCAAGATGGCTGGCGTCGCGCCGCCGGCGGGGAGCAGCGCGATTCCCGACCTGAACGAGCCTTTCATGGAGGAAGATGTAGACGCCGCTAGGGCAAATATTCCCGCCGACATGGTGGTCGACGTAGACGCCGCTAGGGCAAAAATTCCCGTCGACCCGACCATCCCCCTACCGCCAGGGACGAAAGGGGCTCCCGAACCCGAGCCGGACCAGTACTCGCCGCGTTCGGACACGGAGCAGCTGCCGCCAATTGGACCATTTCCAGAAAACGACTACATGTATCTGACCGTAGAGGACTTGTTGGCAGCCGACGAGAAAGATGACGCCTTCCTGCAAAACATTCCGCGCGACGATTTTGCGGAAGCCGCCTTCGACATCAACAAAGAGCTCGCCAAGAAGAACAGATTGCTGAGGATGATGTGGGGTTTCCGGCATCTGGACACGCTGGAGGCGAGAACGACCCGGGTTCAGTACCTGCGGGCGCTGCTCGACTTCAGGAGATGGTGCTGCGCGAACCTTCCAAGACAGCAAACCGCCAGAGTCAAGGGGGACGGCGTGCTGGAACACGAGGACGAGATAGGGAGGTACGTCGATGAAGACATGGGTGATAAGTGGCACACCGCCAAGGGCGACCTACAATGGATGCACGGTCCCCGCGTCAACGCCACGCGGATCAGGGCGTACATTCTATCAATCGCGAGGCAGCACGGTATTGCAAAGGCCGAGGAGCTCGAGGATCTGAATCCCGACGTCCGTGTCCAGCCCCTGAAGCCGACAACCGTTTCGATGCTGCTCATCCACATCAAAGCGCTCCAGACAGCCTGCAAGGTCGAGGGGACGCTCTTCGGGGTGAAGGAGCTCCACATCATGTACGACATCTCCGAGGTCCGCTCGGAGGTGCGCGCGATGGTCAGAGAGAAGTGGCACAGGGACGACAGGTAAGTCGGCAAGTCGTCCCGCGCCTGTTTCCCGGTTCGCCCAGCTAACCCAGTCCTCGTGGAAACTGATGTGCAGGGATTGTGTCGACCGGCACCGCGGAACGCTCGGCGACACGTACGCCACCGACCAGATCCGCCACCTCATGTTCAAGGTCTTGCCGACCTGGGCAGCTCGGGCGTACGAACCCAAAGCGGCCACCCCCTCCCAGACACTGTGGAAGTTTCTGCTGATGAAGACGATGACCCTCTTGGGTCACCACACCCTTCTTCGCGGAGCCAGTCTCCGAGCGATCGAGCTCCCCGACCTGTTTTTGTACAGAATGGGGAGCGCGTCGCCCGAGCACTCCACGCGACGGCCGGTTGTCATGGTCGTCGCGTCACGAAACTCCAAGACGAACAAGGATGCTCGTCTGCATCACAGCTATGCGGCGAGACACCTGGAGCAAGAGATGTGCGCCGTTGGTCACACACTGTTGTGGCTGCACTTCGTGTACGACCAGCTGAGCCGCTCGCCCACCTCTCGATGTGTGCCGCCCCTCGACTTCACAACTCCGTACAGCTGGTATCACAAGCACCTCTTTCATGCTCGGAACGACAAGGCACAAAAAGAGCTGCCGGCTTTATCTCATTCTCGGATCACGAAAGAGATGTGGCGGACGAACAAGATCTTCATCACGCGCAACACCCACGCCGCCCGGGCGGGTGGGGCACAGGAGCTGGCCGACGACGGCGTTCTGCAATCTGACATCGCCGACTTGGGCCACTGGGCGCTCGACAAACTCGCGAAGAGCTACATCACGACCATCCCGAAGGCGGCGGTGTTGAGAAAGGCCGGCTACACGGGCAAGCGCGGCGACTACCACCTCGGCCGGAGCATGGTGAAGCCCGACGACAAGGTGGTGGCCCTCATCGCCCAGCACATCTTTCCGTGGGCTGAAGCGGAACTGGCCAAGGTGAGCATTTCGGACGGCAAAAACGCCGACAACCCGCCGACCATCTCCACGACGACATTATACCGACGGCTGATTGTGTTTGTGTTTGTGTTCGACTCGCAGGCGGTAAGGTGCGCATCCGCGAGAGAGCCCAACACGGCCGGGGTGCACTTCCTGCAATCGCTCATCGAGTTCGGCCGCCGAATCGTCGCCGAGGAACTTGCGTGCATGCTGATGCGCGAACCGTGGCACCCGTACGTCCAGAGTTCCAAGCTCTGCCGCGACCCCGACTTCCAGAAATGGGCCAAGGACGTCAACAGGGTGGACCTCGAAACCATCGCGACGCGCAGTACTCCGAGCGAGAACCCCCAAGAGGTAGGGCGTGCGTGTTCCGGCGACCTGTAAAACAAGTCGTCCTGCCACATTGGCTCACCTTTTGCCGACCATCCCCCTTGGATCGCAGGAATTCAGCGCGCGAGTCGACGCCGAATATCAGGTCGACCAGCTCACCATGATGCTGCACCGCCAGAGGGAGGATGCCGCGATCGAGAAGCTTGAGATGCAAAAGAAGTTGGAGGAGAAGGACGCGGAGATCGCGAAGTTGATGCAGGCTCTCAAGCTGGCCGAGGCACGGCCGACGCCGACTGCGCCGACACCGTCAAGGCCGATGACCGCCGCCGAGAAGGCAGCGTCCGTCAAGATCAAGAAGGAACAGGACGATGACCTGACGTACGAGGTCAACGTCGTGCATCCCTGGCGCACATCCAAGACGGTCGAGGCTGCATGACACTGGTGGAACAACCCGTCCAACTTCAACTCGCGTCCGTTGCGCGAACGTTACGACGAGCACAGATTCCTCGTCAGACACACGCGCATGATCTGCAAGGTCGAAAAGGGCGACAAACCCGCCGCGTCGGCGAAGTCGGCGAAGAGCTCTCGTCCCACGACCGAGGTGGGTGAGACGGGGAAAAACGATGCGCTGCAGCAATGCACTCGCCGGATGAGGCGGATCATGGAAGCGGTGCACGACTTGCGGCGGAGCGACGACGCCGCTGACACCGCCACCGTCATCAAGCTACTCGACCACCTGGGGCGAGCGGGGCTTTCCACTTTCAGCGACGCGCTCTTGGTCCTCCGTGCAACCCCGCCCATCAAGGTCCCCACCACAGTCGACGGAAAGTCAGTCGGCATCAAGGGTCTGGACAAGCCGCTGGCGAGGAAGCTCGCCGTTGCGTGGGGTGTGGTCACGGCGGGCTACATGGACGCTGATAGGGGAAAGAGGCTCTTCGGCGACTTGTGGGATGAGCAGGCCAATAAGGCCGGCTTGGAGGCCGAGGCGACTGCGGGAGCCATTGGCGCAGGGAAGCGCAAGAGGGCGGGCTGAGGGTACTGCGTCTGGGTCCGACTTGTGCTGCTGGCTGAGCGTGGTGTGACTGAGGGTGGGTTGAGGGCGGTTTTCTTTTACTGCCAACATTGTTTCGACTTGTAAATTAGTAGAAGTTTGTCTGTTGTTCATGCATCAAACCGACTCCACACCACAAAACCTACTTCACAACATTTCTGAAAAACTACCGACGAACAAGTTCAGCATCACTAAGCCGGAGAGGCACAACAAAACAACAAAACAGTGTTTGTAGGTCTTCAAGCCTGCAGCGTTTGCACCCACGCCGACCATGCTACGAGCAGGCGGGCCAGCCTTCGTCGACCTAGGCGTCGGCGACCTGCTTCCCTTTGTGCTGCTGCCCCCTCGCCCCCCTGTCCCGAATGATAATCTTCATCTGGGGGTCGATAGGTAAATCGACACCACGAGCCTTGAGCTTCGGGGTTCCGACATTGCAGTCCCCCCAGAAGGCGAGGTTCTCTATCATGACACGGGCGATCAGCTCGTCGTGCTCGCGCTCCTCTCCGACCTCAGGCAGCGACCTCACCACAGCCGTCTGCAGGTCCTTCGTCACCGTTTCGGCGACCTCCCCTACGACGACCACCCGGGAGGCCGCCCGCTGAAGCACCGCCTCGATGACGGTCCGACACCGACTCGCGAACTCGTTGGACGCTCCGCGCATGGTCGCTGCCGCCCCCCCTTCGCCGGCCGCTACTTCCGCCGTGGCATTGGTCTCCGAAAAACACCACACCGCGGCCGCAGTACTGGCGAGGATCTCGGACAACCGCTCCGACCCGACGCCCGGAATGGGCGTCACTTTCGCGGCCACCGGTGCGAAGGCGGCACACATCAAAACGCGTGCGATCATGTCGCTCGCCACCTTGTTCTTCGCGGCCTTCTCGGGCCCGGTCGACTCCGGAAGGTCGTCGAACCACACCGCCGGGCGAAGAGCCAACATGAGAGCTGCGCGGTCGGCTCTGGTTATCCTGTTGTATTCCGCGACCACCTGTTGGAACCTGCGAAACACAGCAGGAATACCCACCGTCACCGACCGGCCCACGCGTACCGACCGAAACGAGCACCAAATTGAGCATTCGCCAAGCTTACCTGTCGCGGAAGACGTTCGCCCCTCGGCTCCACATGACCATCCACATGCCCCCCGGAATCAATCGCGCCACATTCCAGTCCGCCTTATACTGCGCCATCACTTCCTCCTTGACCCCACCGAACTCGTCGAGAACCACGTCGCTGACGAAGCCGTCGAACGACGAAACGGCGACAGCGATGCAGTAGGCGGCCTCGGACTTGTCCATCGACCGGCAGATGTAACGGCTCTTCTTCCCAAACTTCATCTCCGAGACGGCCAGCCCATTTGAAGGGTCAACGCGGACGCCTGAACCCTTCCGACCCTGCGCGGCCGCTTTGGACGTCCCCTTAGAAGAGCCGACCTTCGACGGGCCGCCCTTCGCCTTGTCCTTGCCCTTGCGCTTCTGCTTCCCATCGCCGACCTCACCGGTTGTGGCCGGAGGGGATTTGGCGCCAGCCGCGCTATGGTCCTCCGCAGGAGCAGTCGAGGCGGCTGGTGCACCCTGTTGCGCTCCCACGGTGGGAGCTGCTGCTTGTAGTTTTTCCCGCATGACCTCGATTTCCGGGTCCGGCATCACGATGCTGGCGAGGATCTCTTCGTCCACCCCGCCGGCCCCTTCCACCGCTCTCCACACAGCCGCCTCCACCGTTGAGCCACTCGGCCCTGCAGTCGCTGCCGCGACGTTCGCTGTCTCTGCTCCTTGGTCGACCACCTGGTTGCTGTGAGTCGGAGGAATTACTGGGGTTTTCTTACCCTGATCCTCGAGCCATTTCAGATACTCGTCGTACGATGGCTTTTGAGTGGTTAGAGCCTCGACCGCCCGAGACTCAACAGCCGTTGGGATCGGGATCGGTTCCGCGGCGACCATGGCCCCATGAACGGGTAAGCTGGCCGCACCGGCAGCCTGCTGGACATGCTGTCCGACCACCGCTGCTGGGCGCAAGAGCTCGTCGACCAGCGCCGTGACACCACCCGGTCGCGCGTCACGTGCAGTGGCAGGACTCGTCGCGGTGTGGGGATGCTGGCCCGCCGCGGCCTGCTGGACATGCTGTCCGACCACGGATGTTGGGCGCAAGAGCTCGTCGACTAGCGCCGTGGCGCCAGCCGGACGCGCGTCCTGTGCAGTCGCCGGACTCGTCGCGGTGGGGGTATGCTGGCCCGTACCTGGCGGCCCGCCCTGCTGTCCGACCACCGCTGCTGGGCGCAAGAGCTCGTCGACCAGCGCTGTGACGCCAGCCGGACGCGCATCTTGTGCGGTCGGCGTGCTCGTCGACGGGTGAAGATGCTGGCCCGCATCGGGCGGCCCGCCCTGCTGTCCGACCACCGCTGCGGGGCGCAGGAGGTCGTCGGGCAGCTGCGCTGTGACGCCGGTCGGTCGCGCAGTCGGCGTACTCGTCGAGGGTTGAACATGCTGGACTGCAACGGGCTCCCCGCGCGCCTGGCCGACCACCGCTGCGACGTGCATGTCGTCTGCCATCTGGGCCGTGCCGCCGCTCGGTCGAGCGCCTTGTGCAGTCGCCGGACCCATGAGCTCGTCGGCCAGACTCACCTGGTCGCAGCTCGGTGGCGCGTCGTGTGCGCTCGGCGGATCGGTCGGAGCCTGTGGCTGCTTGTCCCCCACGGGCTGCCCACCGGTCTTCCCGACCACCGACTGAGGATCCTGGAGCGCGACGTCGACCTGTCGAAAATCTTCGCTCGGTCGCGCGCCAAGTCCATCTTTCAGCAAGTCGTGGACGCCGGGGATACGAACATACGGAGGGGCAGGAGGATCCACGCCCACACCGCGTTTCACCGCAGGTCCTCTGCTTCGCTTAGCGCCGCTGGTCTGGTCGCCGGTCAGGGATTTTTCGTCGGCGACCCTTTTCCCCAACTGCCTTGGGGCCGGCCCACTCTCCTCGGCGGTTGCGCGACCGCCGTGCATCACCGACGCGAGAGCAGTTGGGAGGAGGCTAAACCCGGCGGTGCCAATGCCCTGTTGGGTCGCGGAGGTGACCGCCTTCACCAGGTCGTCCCTAAGCTCTTGGACGACCTTCGCAGTCACGGCAGCGGCGATCCGCTGCGCCTCGCCCTCCATGGCGGCCTTCACCTCGGCAGACACGACTGTTTTGATCTTCTGGCCGAGAGCATCTGCCACACCTCGAAGCAGCAGGAGGTCGTCCTCCCGTCGCCTACCCTGTGCAGCAGTAGCCGTCAAGTGCAGGGCCTGCACGGTGGGCAGCCACTGCGTGTTCATGAATTCTAGGGTGGAGCCGCGATAGCTCACCGCCTCCTGCACGACCGCCCTCATAGCGTCCACCGCCGTTTGGATGCTCCTCCCCGACGTCTGCTCAAGATGGGTCACGCCCTCAGCGACTGTAGTGAGCTTGTTCACGGCCGAGGTGACCACGCCGTAAATCGTGTCATTCCGGGCCGTCTGGAACTCCAGCCTCTTTTCCGCCACCAGCTTCTCCTCCCTCAGCTTCTTGATCTCCCTCTCCGCCGCCTTCAGACGCTCGATAGCCGCCTTTGACGCCATCCTAGTCGGGGTCGAGCCACTGCTGCCCCGGGCCTTCTTGCCCAACTTGGGTCCGCTGCCGCCGCTCTTATCCGCAACCTTCTCACCGGCGAACTGTACTGCCTCCTCTTCGCCGGTGACAACCACGTCGTCCTCCTCACGCTCCACGTCCTCCTCCTCTTCTTCCGAGCCACCGTCGTGCTCCCCGCCCCCCTCAACGTCCTCCCTCTCGTGCTCCTCCTCCCCACCCAGAGCGATGCCGGTTCCGACGCCACGGCCCACGGTCGACGCCGCCTCCCCTTTGTTCGACGCGGCCTTCTCCGCGTGGTGCAGCAGCTCCAGTCGGAGCGCCTTCAAGCCGACCATCTTCGGGTTCTCGACGATGAGCGGATCGTAGCTGCGATACACGTCGTCCAGATGTTCCAACGACCACGCGAACGCGTTGACCGCCAACAGCCCCGTGCCGGCGACCTCCTCCTTGAGGATGTCGGGCAATTTCTGCATCAACATCCGAAGCACATGGCGCCGACGAAAAGGGTGAGTCGACGCCTCGACGACGATAGCCCAGGCGACAAGGCGACATGGACGTTGGAAACTCACATCACGGATGGGGGCGGCAAGACTCTCCAGACGTTCGGAGAGGACTTCGGCGGAAGGAGGCGCAGCCGTCCACTGCCTTCCCTCACGGTTCAACTCCGCCTTCACGCACTCGCCGAAAAACCTGCGCTACGAGACGGAAAAGAGCCATCAGACAAGGCGGCATGAACGCCGTTAAGGAGCGGCGCGACTAGCCGTCGACGTTGTCCCACCTCAAAACGTTGGCCGCCTCCTCCTCGTGCCGCTTGGAGGAGGTCTTGGGGTCGAGGTGGCGGTAGAACGTCCCGATCTCCTCCTCGTCGAGCAAAAGCAGGTCGCCAGGGCGCACAACAAGCAGGACGCTGCAGTGCCTGCCGGGAAGAGGTCCGCCCCTGCCAACACAAGCACGACGGAGAGATTCAGGGTTCTGTCCGGGAACAACAAGCAACGAGGTCGGCGTGGATCAAACCTCGCGGGCGCGGAACACTCACCCGGTGCACAGGGGGATGGCGAGGGCTTCGAAGCCGAAGGCCGACCCGAAAACCAGATAGTCCGCCTTCGACGCCGTCCTGGCGGCGCGAAGACTCGCACCGCGGATCAGGATCATCCTATCGCCTTTTCCCAGACGATCGAGCTCGTACCTGGGACAAGCGGGGGCAAAAAGGCGGGATCGAAACACTTGCGCGGTGGGCTACAATCCATGCCGGGCGCCGGGTTAAAGCGCGGACAGCAAGACAAGCGGACTCGGACGAAGGTTTCGCACGACGGCGATGTCGCCGGCAGCATGACGGACGTCACCGACGTAGGGCCAATGGTCGAGGATAGGCAAACTAGTTTATAAGACGA